AACTTAAATGACCTTGGCTCAAGGTCATAACACACCCTCAGGTCATACATGTAAGTCATATTTGTGTTAAGTAGTAGATTCAAGTTTTCCATAATAAAGACATGTACCAAACATTGTACTTTTAAGCAATACATAACTAGAAATACAGGGATATACACATACAAAAATTAAAGCCTCTTACGTACCATCTTTGTCAATGTTAACCTTTAGTCATATCAGGATCACAGAGCACAGCACTCTCCCTTTATTTGGGGGGACTCTGATCCTTCTGTTTGTTTCCTTCCAGTACCTGAACACACAACTGATATAGGATAGGTAATTAATAAAAACCTTAGAACATACTGCAGAAATTCTGACAAATTGATGACATCAACATCAAAATGTATTAATTTTTGATCAAATTTCGACATCAACAACAAAATATATTCATTTTTTATCAAATTATGACATCAACACCAAAATGTGAAACGTGTTAACAAGATGGGGACAGTTAGAGAAGAGACAAAAGAGAGGGAAGATGAATGATTTTCAGTAATTTTAGACAAATGGGGGATTGACAACAGAAGGACATCAAAAATACTGCATATCTCACCTAATTTAGTAAAAAACCAAACCCAATGCTATAAACTTTAATGTGATTTGTCTTGCAGGCAACGGATATGGCTTTCACGTGCTGCTTCTTCAATATCTCTTCCTGTGTTTTCCAACCGTCAATGAGAAGCCCACAGGGCACTTTTATCCCAGTTAAATTCCATTTATAAGGTCAATTTCAAAAAAGTCTTCAAAAAGAAGAGCCTGAATCTTACATCATTTTTAAAGGACGGCCGTCATCTAACGATGGACAGGCTCCTCTACACCACCAAATCAAAGTCAAGTTTAACCACCTTCCTAAAACATAGAAAATCAAAAGAATATTCAGTCGTCATATCTAGTTAGCAAAGGTTAGACAAATTTACAAATACCAAAGAGCTGATCAAGGATGACTCTTACCATCTCTTCAGGATTTGGCCACAAGATATTCCTCAATTTTCGACTCATCTTCCGATCAATCTTTTCAACGTCATCCTTACGTCACAGATTCGAACCCCACTGTGGGACGTGGAGATCGGTCCCTAGGATGAGACCATATGAACCGAGGTCCCGTGTTGAAGTAGGTGCTTGCACAAAATAGAACCCTCCCAGCTCAATGGCCCTGAGTGCCGAGTATAGGACAAAATTTGCAGCTCTCCATCGGCAAGTGGTGCGTCTCCATATGAGTGAAAAATTCTCAGGAGGGACATTAAACAATGCAATATACAATCAATCAATATCATCTACACATACAGGTCAGTCTAACACTCTATATATAAGACAGATTGTCAATAAATTATTGAGGCCTCCTTTTACCAATACAGAGAGTAGGAAAACAAAATTTGATAGAGTGATACACGTTGAATCTTATCAATACGTCTTGGAGGCTCTGCAATTGATCTTTTAACTCTTGCTGGCAAGTCACTATCTCCTCCTTATTTCTGAACCAAACAAATCCTGGAAATGAATCAGGATCCACTTTTCCATTCCCCTTTAAACATTAAAGTTTGGGATTTCAAAGAGGTACATTGTAATTTTAAGCAATAAAAAACTAGAAATAGCGAGATATACACATACAAGAATTAAAGCTTCTTACCTACCATCTTTGTCAATGTTAACCTCCAGTCATAGCAGGACTACAGAATACTCTCCCTTTATTTGGGGGACTCTGATCCTCCCGTTTGTTTCCTCCAGTACCTGAACACACACAACTGAAATAAGGTTAGCAATTAATCAAAGCTTTTGAACTCACAGAAGATATTCAATTTTGAACAAAGCATGACATCAAAATCAAAACATATTCTCTTTTGATCAAATTATGACATCAACATCAAAATGTAAAACGTGTTGATAAGATGGGAACAGTTAGAGAAGAGACAAAAGAGAGGGAAGAGGTCTGGTTTTCAGTAATTTTAGACAAAATGAAGATTGACAACAGACAACATAAAAAATATTATATATCTCACCTGATAAAGTGAAAAATCAAACCCAACACTTTATACTTTTATGTAAATTGTCTTGCAGGCGATTGATATGGCTTTCATGTTAAGTTTCTTCAATGTCTCTTGCTGTGTTTTCAAACCTGCCAATGGGAAGCCCACAGGTCATTTTTTGGGCTGGTTAACATCAAGCGTTAAGTTCAATTGCAGAAAAATCTTGAAAAGGAAGACCTTATATTTTACAGCATTTTTCAAGGTCGGTCACCGTCTACCCATAGAAAGGCTCCACCACATCACCAAATCAAGGTCAGGTTTAACCATCTTCCTCTAACATAGAAAATCAGAAGAATAATCAGTCTTCATATCTAGTTTGGAAAGGTTATACAAACATGCAATAGCAAAGAGCTAATCAATGATAAATCTTACCAGCTTTTTAGGATTTGGCCAAAGACGATTCCTCAATTTTGGCCTCATCTTCCGATCACTGATAACAACATCACCTAGACATACAGGTCGGTCCAACACTCGTTCTGGTGATAAATGAGACAGATTGTCAAAAACGCCAGAGGCCCCTGTTCCTTAGCAAAGAGAGCAAGAACACAATATTGGACATACTAAACATGTTGTACATGTATCTAACCATAACGTCTTAGAGGTCCCTGCAGTTGATCTCTTAATTCTTGCTGGCAAGTCACTATCTACACTTCTTTTGTGCTGCATAAAAATCCTGACGATAAATCAGACTCCCCCTTTTAAAAAAAAGATGAGGATTTCAAAGAGGTATCCTAATATTTTTAAGCGATATATATAGCAAGAAATAGTTGGATATACATATACAAAAATTAAAGCTTCTTACTTACCATCTTTGTCAATGTTAACCTCTAGTCATAGCAGGACTACAGAATAATCTCCCTTTATTTGGGGGACTCTGATCCTCCCGCTTGTTTCCTCCAGTACCTGAACACACACAACTGATATAAGATTAGAAATTAATCAAAGGTTTTAAACTCAAAGCAGATATGCAATTTTGAACAAAGCATGACATAAACAATTAAAATGTATTCACTTTTGAACAAATGATGACATCAACATCAAAATATATTCTCTTTTGAACAAATGATGACATTAAGATCAACATGTAAACCCTGTTTATAAGATGGGGACAGTTAGAGATGAGACAAAAGAGAGGGAAGAGGTCTGGTTTTCAGTAATTTTAGACAAATTGAGAATTGACAACAGACAACATCAAAAATATTATATATCTCACCTGATAAAGTGAAAAATCAAATCAATACTTTACACTTTTATGTAAATTGTCTTTCAGGCGATTGATATGGCTTTCATGATAAGTTTCTTCAATGTCTCTTGCTGTGTTTTCAAACCTGCCAATGGGAAGCCCACAGGTCATTTTTTGGGCTGGTTAACATCAAGCGTTAAGTTCAATTGCAGAAAAATCTTGAAAAGGAAGACCTTATATTTTACAGCATTTTCAAGGTCGGTCGCCGTGTACCCATAAAAAGGCTCCACCACATCACCAAATCAAGGTCAGGTTGAACCATCTTCCTCTAACATAGAAAATCAGAAGAATAATCAGTCTTCATATCTAGTTTGGAAAGGTTATACAAACATGCAATAGCAAAGAGCTAATCAATAATAACTCTTACCATCTTTTCAGGATTTGGCCAAAGGCGATTCCTCCATTTTGGCCTGATCATCCGATCAATGTTGACAACAGCATCTAGACATACAGGTCAGTCCAACATTCGTTCTGGTGATAAATGAGAAAGATTGTCAATAAAGGTCAGAGGCCCCTGTTCCCCAGCAAAGAGAGCAGGACATACTGAACATGTTGTACATGTATCTAACCCTAACGTCGTAGAGGCCCTGCAGTTGATTTCTTAATTCTTGCTGGCAAGTCACTATCTACTCTTCTTTTGTGCTGCATAAAAATCCTGACGATAAATCAGGCTCCCCCTTTTAAAAAAAAGATAAGGATTTCAAAGAGGTACCCTAATTTTTTTCAGTGATATATATAGCAAGAAATAGGTGGATATACACAAACAAAAATCAAAGCTTCTTACTTACCATCTTTGTCAATGTTAACCTCTAGTCATAGCAGGACTACAGAATACTTTCCCTTTTTTGGGGGGACTCTGGTCCCCCTGTTGGTCTCGTTCCAGTACCTGAACACACAACTGATATGAGATTAGTAATTAATCAAAACCTTTGAAAATATTGCGGATATTCACTTCTGAATAAAGGATGACATCAACAATTAAAATGTATTCACTTTTGATCAAATTATGACATCAACATCAAAATATATTCTCTTTTGATCAAATTATGACATCAACATCAAAATGTGAAACGTGTTAATAAGATGAGGACAGTTAGAGAAGAGACAAAAGAGAGGGAAGAGGTCTGATTTTCAGTAATTTTAGACAAATGGGGATTGACAACAGACAATATCAAAAATATTATATATCTCACCTGATAAAGTGAAAAATCAAACCCAATACTTTATACTTTTATGTAAATTGTCTTGCAGGCAAATTGTCCTGTTGGTCTCGTTCCAGTACCTGCTCATACAACTGATATAAGATTAGTAATTAATCAAAACCTTTGAAAATATTGCGGATATTCATTTCTGAACAAATGATGATATCAACAATTAAAATGTATTCACGTTTGATCCAATTATGACATCAACATCAAAATATATTCACTTTTGATCAAATTATGACATCAACACCAAAATGTGAAACATGTTAACAAGATGGAGACAGTTAGAGAAGAGACAAAAGAGAGGGAAGATGAATGATTTTCAGTAATTTTAGACAAAGGGGGATTGACAACAGAAGGACATCAAAAATACTGCATATCTCACCTAATTTAGTGAAAAACCAAACCCAATGCTATAAACTTTAATGTGATTTGCCTTGCAGGCAACGGATATGGCTTTCACGTGCTGCTTCTTCAATGTCTCTTCCTGTGTTTTACAACCGTCAATGAGAAGCCCACAGGGCACTTTTATCCCAGTTAAATTCCATTGATAAGGTTAATTTAAAAAAGTCTTCAAAAAGAAGGGCCTGAATCTTACATCATTTTTAAAGGACGACCGTCATCTAACGATGGACAGGCTCCTCTACACCACCAAATCAAAGTCAGGTTTAACCACCTTCCTAAAACACAGAAAATCAAAAAGAATATTCAGTCGTCATAACTAGTTAGCAAAGGTTAGACAAATTTACAAATATCAAAGAGCTGATCAAGTATAACTCTTATAATCTCTTCAGGAGTTTTCCACAAGATATTCCTTAATTTTGGACTCATCTTCCGATTAATGTTTTCAACATCATCTAAAGGAGTCAATCCTTACGTCGCAGATTCGAATCCCACTGTGGGACGTGGAGACCGGTCCTTTGGATGAGACCTTATGAACTGAGGTCCCGTGTCGCAATAGGTGCTTGCACAAAGAAACACTCCCAGCTCAATGGCCCTGAGTGCCGACCATAGGACAAAATTTGCAGCTCTCCACTGGCAAGTGGTGCTTCTCCATATGAAAAATTCTCAGGAGGGACGTTAAACAATGCAATATACAATCAATCAATCAACATCATCTACACATACACGTCAGTCTAACACCATATATATAAGACAGATTGTCAATAAACTGTTGAGGCCTCCTTTTACCAACATAGAGAGTGGGAAAACAAAATTTGATAGAGTGATTCACGTTGTATCAAAGAGCTAATCTATTATAAATCTTACCATCTTTTCAGAATTTGGCCAAAGGCGATTCCTCCATTTTGGCCTGATCATCTGATTAATGTTGACAACAGCATCTAGACATACAGGTCAGTCCAACACTCGTTCTGGTGATAAATGAGACAGATTGTCAATAAACGTCAGAGGCCCCTGTTCCCCAGCAGAGAGAGCAGGAACACAATATTGGACATACTGAACATGTTGTACATGTATCTAACCCTAACGTCTTAGAGGCCCTGCAGTTGATCTCTTAATTCTTGCTGGCAAGTCACTATCTGCTCTTCTTTTGTGCTGCATAAAAATTCTGACGATAAATCAGGCTCCCCCTTTCAAAAAAAAGATAAGGATTTCAAAGAGGTACCCTAATATTTTTCAGCGATATATATATAGCAAGAAATAAGTGGATATACACATATAAAAATTAAAGCTTCTTACTTACCATCTTTGTCAATGTTAACCTCTAGTCATAGCAGGACTACAGAATACTCTCCCATTATTTGGGGGACTCTGGTCCTCCTGTTGGTCTCGTTCCAGTACCTGAACACACAACTGATATGAGATTAGTAATTAATCAAAACGTTTGAAAATATTGCGGATATTCACTTCTGAATAAATGATGACATCAACAATTAAAATGTATTCACTTTTGATTAAATTATGACATCAACATCAAAATGTAAAACAAGATTTGTTAACAAGATGGGGACAGTTAGAGAAGAGACATAAGAGAGGGAAGAGGTCTGGTTTTCAGTAATTTTTGACAAATTGAGGATTAACAACAGACAACATCAAAAATATTATATATCTCACCTGATAAAGTGAAAAATCAAACCCAATACTTTATACTTTGATGTAAATTGTCTTGCAGGCGATTGATATGGCTTTCGTGTGAAGGTCTCTTGCATGTCTCTTGCTGTGTTTTCAAACCTGCCAATGGGAAGCCCACAGGTTATTTTTGGGCTGGTTAACATCAATCGTTAAGTTCAATTGCAGAAAAATCTTGAAAAGGTAGACCTTATATTTTACAGTATTTTTCAAGGTCGGTCGCCGTCTACCGATAGAAAGGCTCCACCACATCATCAAATCAACATCAGGTTTAACCATCTTCCTCTAACATAGAAAATCAGAAGAATAATCAGTCTTCATATCTAGTTTGGAAAGGTTATACAAACATGCAATAGCAAAGAGCTAATCAATGATAAATCTTACCATCTCTTCAGAATTTAGCCAGTGGTGATTCCTCAATTTTGGACTCATCTTCCGATCGATGTTAACAACTTCATCTGGATACAGGTTGGTCCAACACTCGTTCTGGTGATAAGTAAGAAAGATTGTCAATAAACTGCTGAGGCCTCTAGAGTTTTCCCAACAAAGAGAGTGAGAAAACAAAACTCTATAGTGATACACGTTGTATCTTACCATTACATTTTGTGGAGGCTCTGCAGTTTATCTCTTAACTCTTTCTGACAAGTCACTATCTCCTCTATCCTTTTTTGTGCAGCATACAAATCCTGAGGTTGAATCAGGCATGACCTTTTTATTCCCCTTTCAAACGAAAAAGGAATAGCATTTCAAAGACGTATCCTTATATTTTTACGCAATATATCACAAGAAATAGGGGGATATACACATACAAAAACTAAAGCTTCGTACTTACCGTCGTTGTCAATGTTAACCTCTAATCATAGCAGGACTACAGAGTACGCTCCCTTTATTTGATGGACTCTGATCCTCCTGTTTGTATCCTTCCAGAACCTGAACACACGCAACTGATATAAGATTAGTAATTAATCAGAACCTTTGAACACATCGCAGATATTCACTTTTAAACAAATCATGACATCAACATCAAACATATTCACTTCTGAACAAGTCATGACATCAACATAAAAATGTAAAACATGCTAACAAGATGGGAACAGTTAGAGAAGAGACATCAGA